GTCTACTGAATCGTCTAAACCAGGGGTATCAAACTCATGTCATCACAGTGTCATGTGATGTATCGGGACTTTCCCCCCCTATACTAAACTGGGTGTGAACATGGCCAGTGCATGACACATCTGGCCCATGGGCTGCAGGTTTGACAGCTCATCTAAACAGTCCTCCAATAGCAATAGCAATCAGTCCTCCAATAGCAATAGCAATCTTAAAATTAAAAGAAGCATCTTGTTCCAAGAGATTCATAAAGTTTCCCGTTTTTTCTAGAAAATCTTTAAAAGCAGTTTTAGATCATCCAACAATCAACCCCAATGTGCTTATTGTGGAGAAAGGAGAGCAATTACTCATTTATTAATTACTATTTTTAAATAACTTGATTTATTAGCATTACTTTTATTATCTTAATGTTTTCTAACTCCCTCCCATCCCCCAGTGATTGCAACTATTCCAGTACCAGAGTTTTTCAAAAAGTGAACTCTTTTTAAAAATGATTAAACAAAACAAAATACAATTATCAAAATTTTATTGAATTTAATTGGATGTGTACATGGAACTGAACACACTTTGGAGGAAATGAGGACATCATCAACATCCTCATCATCTACTATGCCATACAGATTGAATTAACCAGGCTAAAACAATTTCTTGATAACTGCAAATCTGGAAGCATCTGGAAATGGATTTTTAAAATATTGTTTTAATGGAATTACTTATATTTCTGAATATGAAAGCATTGTTATCCTCCAACAAGTAAATTAAACTATTCAAATGTCAACCTCCCAGCCTTCCCTGTACTTATATAATTAAAATACAACAATATGACAAATGATGTAAACTTGTTGCATGCCATAATTCAGTGTTCATTCCATACTTCTTATTAATCTGTTGCCCTCCAAATCGGTTGGGAGTTACATTTTTTATAATTCCCAGTTCAATATGATCCAAGATGTTTTTAAGTGGTGGAAATTAAGTGGTGGAAATAGACAAACACATCTGTAATATTCTGTTCAGGAAAAGCTGCTTTACAGTATAAAAAAGTTCATTTTAAACATAGCATAAAATGTACTGTTGCAGAAAATGACAAGACTCAGACCTTGGAATCAAAAGAAGTTGCTTTTATTTGCACAAAGATTCAGAACAATATAGCCAAAGCAACATCTGAACAACCTCCTATGGAGCAACACTTACATATATACTCTTCAGAAGCAGCAAAACACAGAACTATAACTTGTCAGCATTCATTGGTTACTTGAACAGTTCATTTGTGGTTTGTTGCAAGCGAGACATATGCGGTTACCTATAATGAAACTTTCTGCTTTTGACACATATGAGTGACTGACAGATGAACCTGTGGTCTGATATTTTCCATTTTCTTGTTCTTTTCTCTCACTAATACACACATTTCACTATCTAGAAGAATCATGTCAATATTTCTCTAAAAGCAATACGTTTCTTCTTTATGTCCTGCCTCATTCCCCCCTTTGAGACTCTATTTCAGTTAACAATTGAGTCTCACCTTTATCATTTTAGCCTGTAACTAAAGCATCTACTTTTTCCCTGCAAGGTAAGATAGCTTTGCAGAAGTCACAGATACATGGATAGGCATAACATATGGTATGATTAACACTTTAGACCGGCATCCATTTTTCAACAATACGAAACAGCGAAAAAGCCCCAAAGCAATTTTCAGAGCTCATTTTCCTCAGGCATGTCCTCCAATCCCCAGGGTCCTATCCGTATATACACTCCACCGCCTGGATCCTCACTTTCCCTTTGTAGGTCTGAGGAGAACTTATTTTCCCAAAGTCCTTCCATTACAATTAATTCCTTTTCAACCCTTATTTCTCTCACTGACCTCATAACTACTTGTCTGACCTCATAAATACTTGTCCTGCTATTCCACATAACAACACAAGCAGCATCTGTTCGACCCAAGCGGTTCCTGGTAGCCACGAGAACCACAGGTCAGTTCCTTGTATTCCTTGTCTAATTCTGGATGCCCTATCTTGCAAGTCCCTTGCCACTTCTCTGACTACGCCTGATTTATTCATGTAAAAGCAACAATCTTCTCCTAAGAATAGACACGTATCTCCTTTCTCGGGCTGTCAAGAGGTCTAAAGCACGCCGGTTTTGTAAGACTGTTGCTGCCAAAGAGTCTGTTTGATATTGGACTTCTACCAAGGTCCCAGCAATCTGGCTTAGGCTTTGTTGAAATTCTTCAGAAAGTTGCTTAAACTGTATTACAGAATGGGTTAAATTACCTACACCTATTCCAACAGCAGTGCCTATCTCTAGTATGGCTAATAATGGTATTACTATGGGAACTCTCTTCTGTATATGTCCCATGAGAGGAACAGGGAGGGCTTGTTCCCCATTAACAACACTCATCTTTGGGATGAGATGTACCAGAGTATACGTTCCAATCCAGTTGGTTGGTAAACATACATATGCCTTTTCCCCACATAATAAAAAGACCCCATTCTCTTCTAAGCATACTGCCATGTTCATGGAGAAGGCATGAAATTGATGGCCATTCTGATTACTCCAAACCCGTAAGGTACCTGCCATAAACATGCCAGTCAACGGCAGTAGTGGAGATTTTTTTTCCCAAAAATTTTATTAATTTTTAAAAAACAAACATATACAAACAAAACACAAAACATGAAAAACATAAAGCATCTTTTTTGAAAGCAGCTTGATCCCAGGTTACATCTTTTCGTACAGACATAAATTCAAGTTCATGCTCACTTTTATATACCATTCCATATCTTATTACCATTCTACATTTTTTGTATAGCTTCTCCCCTCTTTTCACTCTCTTAATTCTATTTTATTTATTTCATCTTAATTTAAATCATTATACTTATATCTTTTGTCTGTCCTGTTTCAGCTGTCTATTATCTTTTCTCATTAACACAAAATTTCTCCTGTTATCACTGATTGGAGTATGATGCCTTTATATCTTTCCCCTAAATTTAACACTTAATATAATACATAACTTTCATTCGGATTCTGCTTAGTACATTCTAAAGCTATTTTAAAAAAAGAAAAAATTATAAATATATAATTAAAACAACAATCCATACCAATTGAGCTCTGTCGTAAAAATTAATATTCATTTAAATCTTAAACATTTTACACATTCCTTTTCAAATAGGTATCATGCTTCTATGGGAACAGTTCATTTCACTTATATTTTAAAACATTATATAATTAAAATGTCCCCATTCCTTCTTAATTCAATTCTCTCATATTTCATTTCATTTATTTTGTTCAAGAAAAAAAAAAGTTTCACTGAATTACATTGAATATTTTATCCCATTTTATAATCATACGTTGTTCCAATTTTCTAACATTATTTCTAATACAAATACAACAATACAGTCTTATGTACCTTTGCAGAATCTCTTTTTCAGTTATATTTTACCCATTATCTCTAAATAAATCCTGTTTCTTTACATCTTGTTTCAAACCTTTGTAGCTTCTCTTCCCTTTTTTGGTTTTTTTTTAGGTCTTAAATTCTCCATTCTCTTTCCCCCTTTCCCCTTTCTTCCTCAGATAAAGTTACTTGTTCATTAAAGATGGCTTCTTCTTTGTCCCAATCTTCTTGTTCTTGTAATTTCTCATAAGTAGAAATCGCCATTTCTAAAAAATGAAAAACAGAGCCAAAAGAGCCCTTCCCTTCTTGTTCCTCTTCTTTATATTTTTTATATTCCATTTTCAGTTCATCCACAAGCGATGCCATTGTAAAAAAAAAAATTAAACAACCACCCAAGTGTTTTTAATCATTGAAATATATTTTCCAAAAGTCCCAGAGTCACCAAGCAGTCCAAATACACACAAGCTGTTTCATTTAACACTTTCTTCTTTTTTCACTTTCTTTTCCTGGGGTTACAATTCAGTTACAAAGTTCCAATTAAAATGTATCTTTTAGAAGTCTTATTACAATTTGCAATATAATCAACCAATCGGAATATAGTATAAATCAATAGTGATTTTGTCTTAAAGCTACAAACATACATTGTTGGTTTATATATTGCCAACCCAACTAATTGGTGTATAGATTCCTAACAATATATTTAGTTTATTATATTATCCATTGATATAAATTATTTTAAAATGCAAATAAAAGAGCAGCTTATTTCTAGTCATTCTTGTTTTTGTTTTTTAATTAGGTTAAATTGTCAATAATTTAAGGTCCTTTTAGGCCGTTCTTTTTCTTGAAAGTTAAAGTGAATGCATTAATGCCTCTATTAACACTGATTCATGAGTCATTGCCCTTGCCAATACTTAAGATAAGAAACGCTGTGATGTTTTCCAATCAAGCCCAGCTCATACCAGCAGAAAGAACACTTATCATTCAACTGCTATTGAATGACCTCTATTTAGATTTTGAACTTAAATTTTGCAGGATCCAATCTGAGTCGGTCACCAGGACCAGAGTTACAAGCTTTTGGACTCCTACTGGAGCCCATCCTTCTTTTTTTTTCCAGAATGTGTATGCTGGGCTGTTCCGTGTAGTATTTATATGGTGCCTGTTTTTTTGTGTCTTAAAAAATTCAAATCTTTACTAAAATCAAGATATTGATCAAATCAGATTGACTGGAGCTTTAGTTTCCTTATCACCTTCTAGGCGTATTTGTGCGGACATTTGGTACGTTTGCACAAATGGGTTTGGATTTTTTCCTTTAGTTCGAGATGGCTCCGCTGCTTTTGTTCTGGAGACACTTGCCTGCAAAGCGTATCCTCCGATCGTCTCCCCAAGCCAGAGCTCTGCTTCCCCCGGGTTCCCCCATCTTTCCTCAGCCAATCCGCCCCGCCCGCCGTTTTGTTGTTATCACATGGCAGGGGGTGGGCTCAGCCTGTCCGGGCAGGCGCTGGGGAAGCGCCAGAAAGTTAGGCGAACTGAGTAGAGTTGGCTGGTCGGTGAGGAGACTTGCTTGCGGATTTGCCAGATGGCGGGAGGGAATGAAACGACGCCTCCCAGCGCCCTGAGAGTGGCAAATCCCTGTCTTGACTGCACTCCGTTTCCCCAGCCCCAAAGCCTCAGATACTGAACGCACGAGGGACTTCGGACATGGGCTCATCTGTGCGCCGCGGGGTGGTACAGCGGCCGCCGCTGCCACTTTTAGGACGCCTGCTCTTTTGCTGCAGCCTCTTCTTCTCAGGACTGGCCCAAGAACGCCCGGCTACTTGCCGTTGTTTGGGAAAACGATTGGATTGCAGCCGCCTCAAACTGAGAGAAGTCCCCGCGCTGTTTCCCACCAGGACGGTGCAGCTGTGAGTATAGTCGGGTGGCGGGGGGAGGTACTGGCCGCGAGTCTGAAGCAGGGGTCTCCGGCGCTAGGAGGTGCTCAGGGTTTTCCTGCTGAGCCCACTAAATAGAGGTGCTGGAGAGGAACTACAACTACGTTTTCAACACTTTGGCTCCCTTCCCCACAAATATCTCAGCTTCCCACCTCTCTGGTAGACTTCTGCAGCCTGATCCCAGCTTCTGGGCCGTGTGGATGGAGACTCTAGGTCAATGATTGGAGATAATCTTGTAGAGTTGTCCTGCACCTTTCTAGCTATTAAGACTGCATTTACACAACTAGGCTAAGATGTCCTTGGCTAAACTGTGATTCATCCCTTTGTGTGGACCCTTATGGATAGTTTATGGGCAGTTTATCTGTTGTGCAAGGCCTGACAATAGAATTGATTTAGCAAACCAGAACACCCAGTCTATCTGGGTTGTCTTGGTACTTCCTGTTGCAGGGAGAAAGTTGGTGGGGTACAACCCTAGCTGCTGATAGGTCCTAGCTGCAATAGCATCAATAGAATTAGCATTAAGCCATCCTTCCCCATTTCAAGCATGTTGAAAGGTAACATCATTCCCATAATTCTTATCCATCACCTGGAAGCAGTTTAGTTACTCACCTATATACTTTGCATCTAGGCATTATAGAAATGAGGATTGGCCCAAGTTTTAATGGTCCTTTCACTTAAAGACAGGCAAGCAGTTAAGATGTGAAACAACTTCTGATACTATGGTATATCCTGTTGTGTGCAAATGGAGCTGGCATTTACTTATTTTGTGCCTCTCAATAGTCCTGGGGGACGGGGATGGCCTAGGAGGTCTAGCAAAGCTTTTTTACTCTCAGGACATCATGGAAGTTGGGGTTTTAGCCAGTCTCCAATTGCTTTGTGTCTAGAAGGAAAGAGCAAACTGGTAACCAAGTGAAGGGTTTCCTTTTCTCACTTTGAAAAATGAAAGGCAGTAATGGTGACAGTTTGTACTGACATCTGATTGCCTGGTTGGGGGCAGTTAGGTATCTATCACCATGATTACATAGAAGGAAAAGATAGAAGAATGAAAACAGAATTGCTCCATGCACTTGCGATTTGTTGGTTTGTGCTGCCTCTGCCTTAGTTGGAAAAAGAGGTACAATTGTTGGCTTAAAAATAGAAAACAAATCTACTAATCGAAAGAAGCCAGAATCTCCAAGTAAGTACGACATGTTCCCCTCTTTCTAGAGCAAGGGTGTGAAACTCAAGGCTTACGGGGTGCTTAGATCTGGCCTGTGGGGCCACCCTGGAAACACCAGCCCACAGTGCCTCTGCAAGTGAAAATGGAACACCATTTTCACTGGCAGAGGACTGCAGGAGTCCGTCACAACCCAAAACGGAGCTCAGGAGCCCATTTTTACTGGCAGAGTGCTCGGCCATCAAAGGTGTCCCCGATATGAGTGATGGCAAGCTGGCCACGCCCACCCTGGTCATGCCCCCCCCCCGGCTCCTGAGGTCAAACACAACCCTGATGCGGCCCTCAGTTAAATCGAGTTTGACACCCCTGTTCTAGAGCTAAGGCTTTGGAGATACATCAGTATCTGGATGCTGCAAGAAAAGGTCTTGGCATTTTTATACATTGTAATGGCCTTTTGAATGGGGAATAGATGTTGCCATTTAGATAACTGAAGAAAAAATATAGATTTATATATGATTAATCATTGAAATTTGGGTTGTGGGCCAGTGTTCATGTCACATCTACATCTATTCCAGTAGAAAGGCCACTGTTTTTCTCTTGCATTTTTTTTTCCTGTTAGTGTTTTATCTTTTAAGAGAAAAACAGTTTAAAAAAAATGTTTTGCAAAGACCTAAAATGGGAGATAGCAATAGCAATAGCACTTAGACTTATATACCGCTTCACTGTGCTTTACAGCCATCTCTAAGCAGTTTACAGAGTCAGCATATTGCCCCCAACAATCAGAGTTCTCATTTCACCCATCTCGGAAGGATAAAAGCTGAGTCAGCCTTGAGCCGGTGAGACCTGAACTGCCAAACTGCTGGCAGACGGTGATCAGCAGAAGTAGCTGGCAGTACTGCATTCTAACCACTGCGCCACCGAGATACTTTCATAAAGAAGTCTGTTCATGCAACTCTGAAGAAGGCACATGAATTTCCCTCAACTTTGTATACTCTTGTGTAAATGCAATTTATATATCACATATAGTTAATATAGATAACTAAGGATTATGGTAATTGTAATACAAAATACCGGTACTAGAATTTATCAGGATAGAGAAAATTAGTCCAGCTGTTTACAAGTGTTGGTCTGTCTCTGTACTGGGAATATGATTCCAAACATGGGTAAGAGAAGATATATGTTGATTTCAAACTTGAATAAGATAAGATCATATATGTTGATCTTTTGATGTATTGCACCAGAACATGTAAGAGATGAGATAGGAGTAACCAAGTTAGTCTTTCAAGTAAAAGCAAAAAACCCCAACAACATTCATTTGTATGATACATGACAACAAATCTGTTATTGCATTATTATTATGCATTAATATTATTTGATTTGGATGTTATCTAGTGACATTTTAAAATAACTATTCAGCAGGAGTTGCTTCTCATTTTAAAATTGAAGGGCAAATCTAAATTAGGACCAGTACAATTTTTTAGAAGCAATAACAACAAGAATACCTAATGTAATGAGGAAAATAAATTCTATCACTGATATTCACATGGATTTATTGTGAGCATCATGACTGTTAATCAGCAGTTATAGACAATGGGACCTGAAATCTAAAAATATTTTAAGGACCATTTCCCCCAATTTCTGATACAGAAAACATTCTATTTGTGTTTAAACTAACTTTGGGTCCAGTATGGTTCCTGAGCAACAATCCTGCATGCTGTGAGATCTGTATGGGAAAGTGAAGGATTCTAAATAATTTTTGTCCATGTGATTTTATTTAATTGCTCTATTAGTTTCTGTAGACACTCTCTCCTTCTGACTTAGATTTTTGTTAAGAATGGGATAAATTAATATCTATATTTTCATGAGGGATGGCCACAATAGTTTTGATATTTTTTAATTCTGTAGGGATTTCTTATATAAAATCTTAATGGTTTACATTTGTTTAAAGTCATCAAGGTATTTAAATATACTAGTGTTGTATGTTTGTTCTGTATGTGTTGTCATTTCAATCACTTCTAGAAATAGTAATTTTCTGTTTCAGTTCAGAAGCTAGTAAAGAATTTAAAATAACAGGAAGTCGTTCAATTAGTTGTGGCTAATTCTGTTCAATTGCCTCTTCTGGAAATTGTCCTTGCTTATTGAAAAAAAGACACTGATGTATTCATTCCATATAGTAAGTCATATGGTATCAACTATGTATGATTATAGCTGTAAATGTCTACTCAAATGTAAATCCCCTTGTATGCAGAAACTGTATGCAATTCATAGATAAATATGTGAATTGTAGCCTTAGAGAAAGGAGATTCAAAGAATGTAAACAGAAAATAAATATTTATTTACTAAATAACAAGTGATGTAAAGATCATCTTGAATAACTTTTTTAAAATACTTTTTAAAAAAATCTTCATTTTTATTAAAAGCTATATATAGATTGTAAATATCCAGAAAACTTCTAGATGATAGCAAAGAGGCCCAAAACCAGTCAATATAAGGTAGACCTAATTGTTTACAACATTTGAACAAAAGCTTTTCAAGGTTTATTATAAATATCTGTTCACAAAAGGTGCAGTATTTAAGCACTCTTTATCAGGCAAGAACTTTCCCTGATTTTTTTAAAAAACAAACTAAACTAGAAAACCAAACGAGAGAGAAAAATTGGCAGATGTTCAACCATGTCTGTATTTTATTACAGTTTTAGATGGAATGTGGGAGTAGACTACAGACATGCAAATAGAGCCTTTTCAGGTGCTTTCAGTAATGTCAGGTTGCACCAGGACTCTTAAGGATTTCTGGGAAGAAAAGACAGATATGTAACGGTTTTTCCCCCCTCCTATTTCTGAAAATATAAAATCGGTTGTCTGATTGTCTCCCAGTCCCACCGAAACACCTCAGTTACTTCTTAAGCAGAAAACACAAGAAAACAGCATAGATGTGTCCATTAAGTTTTCAGGAGTCAGGCTTGATTTGAGGGATAGTTTACCTAAGGCTGTTTATGGGTATTTTAAATGTTTTATTTAGAAAGAGGAAAAGCAATAAACATGTACTAATTGTCTGCAAATAAAACTCCTTGAACACAGAGGGACTTAATTTTGAGTAGACATGAAATAGAAGTGCTTATAGAAGTACATGTTTTCTTGAATAACCAATTTCATGGATAACCATTTTTGCTTGTAAGAGACCAGTAAAACCAACATAGAGATGTGTAGCTAATAATTAATTCATTTTAATTAAGGACTTAAAACTTAAAAATATGTTCTTTTCAAATGGATGGTGGATTAATCAAAATAAGAACAAGATACCTATATCTTGGTGACAGTTAATTTACTGTCTATTAAAACAAAGAGATCTTTTGTGGCTGCAGAAGCAGTGGAAGCTTTCTAATTGGATTTCCCCTGGAGAGGCAAATTGTCCATATGTATGTTCACATTCCTTTACAAGAAGTGTGAAAAATGGGCTCCACTTGTATAAATACACACTTGGTCTTTTGTAAGGAACCCTGCTGTGATCACTCATGGGCAGCTGTGTCACTTGTTCTTAAACTGACTGGGTGACATCTTTGTAAATGTCATCAGACCATGTGGTCTGGTAGATTTTGTGACAAGTTTCTTTTGTTAAAATTAAGTACCTTCAGTGCTTGCTTTTCATGCCTTTAAAAAAAGCTAGCAAACTGGCTGTTCCTCCTTCCCTCCCTCCCCCCCTTGGCCTCCTTTTGCTCTTGCCCCCGGGAACCCTCAAATGCTAACAACTAAACAAAATTGGCTGTATTTAGTACCGATCATAGTTTACCCAGTTTGTTTGTGAGGAATGTCATGATATA